GGAGGCAGAGGGCTGTAGACAATTGCAGTGCTTCACCCACAGGACCGGAGCCCTAGACTCTGCTGTGTACCTACCAGCTGATGAGTCCATTCCTCCTTTTTGGAGACCTGAACTGGTATCTGGGTGATTGTCCGTCAGCTATTCTACCTGGCAGCTGCACATACCAACTCCCTAATGCCACCAAGAGGGGACACCCTGACCCTGACAGGGAGGACGGTTACAGGGAGTTATTAGTGTTCCAGTTATATATTACATGCCACCTTTTGGGTCTACATCGTAACAACTTTATGCTGGGTGTAGTGTGTATGTCAGGCCTGATGAGTTGCTGACAGAGTAATGAATCACCAATAGGCCTCTCTGTCACATCTGGTTTCATCCATTTAACTTTACTTGCCCTTCAGGATATATGGTCCCAAATCTCGGTGATCCCCTACTAGGATAAATCCATCAGGCCAGCTAAGAACCTAGGGAGACCTCAGCCCCACAGAAACTCAGCAAACATCAGGTGGAAATTTCTCTCTGTTCAAACTGGCCGCATGGGAAGCAGCAATTGAAATCAAATCTGGGTGGTGAATGGACAGGGTACAATGATGGCTTTCTGTGGTCTACAGTCTCCCAGCAGCAGGTAAGTATGGGAGGGCTATAGGGTTGGCAGAGATCTCATCCTAGGGTGGTTTGAAGGTAGTGGATGAAACAAAAGGCAGCATTTCAGGCACAAAGGAGTTGGTATTGATAGAAGCTAGTGGGCTGTGTGAGAATTTCCCCTTGGCATTTCAGTATGTGAGGGTAAATTTTGGAGTTGGTTGAAAATTTTTCAACTAAACAGTTTTCCATTTTTGAAGAAAAATTGTCAAAACCAGAAAGTTTTGTTTTAACATTGAAACAAAGTGAGAAATTTCCATCAGTGTCATAAGTGTTTTATTTTTACTTCTTTTGATTCATTTTCTTTAGACTTTATGTTAAAATATTAAATAGAACATACGTATGGTATGTTACAAATAGAACATATAGAATTATAACCAATAGTAAAGTGAATTTTACTGTTATATAAAAGTTTCAACGAAACACTTGTCGTTGTTGAAATGACCCAGTTTTGCCTTGTTGAAACAAAATGACTCAAAATGTGTTGGAATCTTTTGTTTCTCAGGAAACTTCCAAAATTCAGCTTTTAGATTCAGAATGAAACATCTGCAATGTCAGAACCTTCCTCAGAAGGGGGATTCTGGATTCTAACTAGCTCCTAGTTAATTTCCCTTGGGAAGCTCCATCCAGACAGGGCACTCCTGGATTTGCTCTTTAGCTGGTGCTGGACACACTGCAGGAGGTACAGACCTGTTGGCCCATCTAGCCTAGTATCTTATCTCTGACACTGGCCGGCACTAGCTGTTTCCCAGGAAGATGCAAGGAACCCTGCATTTAGGGGATAACCTGCCCTCAGGGACGATGACCTCCTGACCCCCATTAGTAGAGGTGAGTTTATACTCTGAAGCAGATTGGGCTCAATAGATGTTACTGTAATTAGTCTCTAGTGCCACAAGTACTCTTGGTTCTTTTTGCTGATACAGACTAACACCTGAAACCTGTAATACTACTACTACTAATGCATGTATTATCATGGGTCCTGATCTTGGCTGGGGCTCCTAGGTGTTACCCTAATACTAATAATGCACACATCATAATGGGGGCCCCGATCTCTATCTGAGCCCAACTAATGTACAAACCCTAGTTGGGCCCTGATCTTTTGTTCCTACATGCTACCGTGCTACTAACTAGTAGCTAAAAGCCCATGCTGTTGTACATGTGGCATTTTTCCTTAGTGTTCTCCTTCCTTTAGCCTCTCTGTGGCTAGTGAGAGTAGCTTTCTTTTGTGGCATTGTGTGACCAAAGCTTAGAGTGGCATCTGTAACGGTGCCACCCTATACCAGTAAGTATGGGCACTGTGCCCAATTCTGTAGGGCTTGGAATCAGATTATTTCAGTACCTGTGGCAGGTTTTCCCCAGTATGCCTGCCTACTAGTTCACTGAACATCGCAGCAGCAAACGTGTTAATGCAACACAAAGTGGCATGTATTTATGAACAGGAAATAGAGAGCAGCAGCAGTAAAGCCACGTAGGGAGGTAGTATTTTGGGGGGCCTTGGTTTCTATCCACTGTGGTGTAGTGAGCAACGTTGCTGTTTGTACATGTTCTCCAAAGTTTATGTACGGAGCTGCCCCCTGGCCGGATGCACAACCCCATTTGTTGTCCCCATCTTCTCTGATCAGCTGCCACACTTCAACTGCCACAGAACCTTTGGGTTCCAGCATCCCATCCAGTTCTCCCATGGCCGAGGGATGATTGAACCTGGTGATATGCTAAGCAAAAAACACTCTCAGCCAGGCTTGGAGCTGCTTTACTGTGTGCTGACTCAACAGACGTTCTAGGTTTCACAGTGACAGTCCTGGAAGACTTGTGTTCAGGGCAGGTGTAACCACTAGGCAAACTAGGCGGCGGCCTAGGGCGCCAAGATTTGGGGGTGGCAAAAAGCGGTGCCCAAAAATTTTGTTTTACACTATTGCTGGAAAACGAATGAATAAAGAAAAGAGAAACGTTGAACTTGCATTTTAACTCGTCGTTCTTCTCTCATACATTACAGCTATAGCCTTCGCCAGCTCTGCGTTGCGGGCACAAGCGTACTGCTTCACTACGGTACAAAGTGGCAATGACGTCGTTTTTCTCGTCACGCGCAGCCGTTACCCGTTCTGACAGGCTGTTTATAATGCTACGTTTACTAGTTTTCGGAGGTTGTCGACTGAGGCTAACTATTTTTGTTGAGTTGTTTTAGATCTAAGACTCTGGCAATTGCTGCTGCATCATTTCGCTAATACTTTGTGTCAATTGTGTGTGCATGTTAAGTATTTGAGTGTATATGTTGTGCGAATATGCGTGTGTAGGTTGTTGAAATTTGTCATTGATATTGTCAGTTGTTGTATGACGGAGTATCTGCCATTCTAATTTTATACATTTTATTAATAACAATAATTGGATATTCTAAAGGTAGAATAAAATGTAGTAGATTTTGATAGGAAGGAAGGAAGAATACATGACTAAAAAGGGTGTATTTCCGATTACAGTCAACATTGCTTAATTTTAAGGAAAAGTCATCTTGATCTCTTAATCAATGTTTACGTCAAACAGTTGATGAAATTCAAATAGTGACTCATAGTTAGTAAGTGACACGTATTCTCTATCCTTTACTTTTAATAGTGAACAAGAAAAAGAACTGATAGGAATAAAATTTCATTTTTGTTTGTTTGTTTGTTTTCAGTTGTTGCAGCTGGGGGGGCGCAAGGTGGAAGTTTTACCGAGGGCGCAAAATATTCTTGCACCGGCCCTGCTTGTCTTGGTGTGTCAGTGGTGAGTGAAGCATATGTGCTGGGGCTGTGTGCGTGGGGTTGCGGTGGGGGTAGTTTTGAAGAATTGTTGTAGCTGAACCAAATAATCCAGCATCTGTACAGTCTCACTCATACAACCAATGAAAATTGTTGATGCAACATAGCTGTAGAGTAAGGATGGTGATCTCGGAAGTAACTCAACCAATGGGCTAGGACTCCTGCCATGGCATAGATAAGTGCCTTTCTGTAGCTGTTCATCTGTGATGAAGTGGGAATGTTCTTAATGTTTTCTGAATACTGTGTGGGTGCCTCAGTTTCCCCTATGTATTTCCTAAGTATCTAGGTGGTGGGATAAGGGTGTGTGATTGTTGCAGAGCCCTAGAGAGCCAGTGTGATGCCGTCTGCACAGAGAATGGCCAACACTTTGTCTCCTGGCAACTGATGACCTAGGCTCCTCCCCTGCAAGGTGCCAACTGAAGGTGTTGAAGAACAAAGAAAACAGGTGGCCTCCTTGCCCAGGGAAAGAGACAAAGGCCAGAGAAGGGGCTGGAGGGAGTTTCAATTTGGAGCTGGCTGGGGAGACAGGGGAGGCCCAGAACCTGGGTCTGGGCTCCCCACCCCCCAAGATGGACATGACTGAGGGGTCCTGTTTTCTGTACCTACAAGCTCTGTTTTAGACTGTGTTCCTGTCGTCCAATAAGCCTTCTGTTTTACTGGCTGGCTGAGAGTCACGGTGAATCGCAGGAAGTGGGGGGTGCAGGGCCCTGACTCCTCCACATTCTGTGACAGCATCACAAGGGGGCACTCGTTAAAAACTGGATGGTACCACGTGGCAAAGCCCATCATGACTCAACCTGGTGCCATGCTGAACAAAAAGAGCCCTCAACCCTGCTTGTAGCTGTTTCCATTGCTTCACACACATTCTACAGCTATCATAGTCTTCAGAGAGTCTGGGGAGGTTTTGCCTTCCTCTGCAGTCCAGGGCATGTGTCAGGCAGGTTTAAGCTAGTGTAAAGGGTGGAGTCTCTGTACCTTGAAGTCTTTAAATCATGATTTGAGGACTTCAGTAACTCAGCCAGAGGTTATGGGTCTATCACAGGAGTAGGTGGGGGAGGTTCTGTGGCCTGCACTGTGCCCGAGGTCAGACTAGATAATCAGCGTGGTCCCTTCTGTGAGAGTGACATTCCTGGAATCTGATTATATGGCTAATGTGTACACCATAATGGGGGCCTGGCTCATAATATACCAATCTAATAAGTGAGCCTCTGCCTCAAAAACTGAACTCCCTCATACAAGAGAATAAACCCAGTTTAATTTAAGGTTCACACCTGTGCAGACACAAACTCCAAGCCAATAGACTCTCCTGCAGAAACACAGTATCTCTGTTACATAGAACAGACATTTACAAAAATGTCAGAAGTTCATCGTTGTCTCATTAAACATGGCACCCAGTTAGCAAAGAACCCAGGAAAATAACAGTCCATTTCAGTACAAACTGCTACCCAGACAGCAGCTTGGTAATGGCTCCTTAGGGTGAAATTCACCCTGTGCTTAAGGCTAGGGAAAAAGCCTGGACGCCATAATGCACCAGGGCTGCACTGAGGGCTAAATGGATAGGGCCTAGCACTAGCCCCTCTGAGTTGCACCTTTTAGGGAATCCTAGCTGATTGGTGTCCCCAGTTCTGTGTAGCAGGGTGGGGAGACCAGGCTGGATAGAGCAAGGTCAAGTGTTGGCTGGAGGTTGGGAGTGTGAATTTTATTAGTCTCCTCACATAACACCAGTCTGTTTTGGCTTTAGTGTTAGACAGCATCCGGCAGGATCTTCTGCTCCCCATATTGTGCTGGGTTCTGTCTGTGCATGATCCCATTCTGGGTTACCTCATGGACTGGTTAGGAATTCCCCCTCTAACCATGACCTGAGGAAGACCGTTTGATTGTTGTGGAGAGATCTGCTGCCTGGAAGGAAGCAAAGCTGCATCCACTCACCAGCCCACCTCCCAGATTACATTTGGTGCTGTCCTTTCAAGCATCTGCTTCTGGCTGATGTCAAAGATGGAACTACATGGGCTGTGGGCCTGAGCCAGGGCAGCAGGGAGGGAGAGATACTGGGCTGGATGGGTCCATGGGTCTGATCCAGTGCAGCAGCTCTTCTCTCACAGTTTAACAGCCCTCCTTAGCTTAGGACTCCCAAGGGGTAGCCAGGGTCACTGTATCCCCCGGTTCAGCCCCTCGGCCAGCCAGTGCAGAAGGGGGGTCTGTGTTGGCAAGGAGGGAGTCAGCATGTCCGGGCAGGTGGATTCATGGTCCTTGAGCATTTGATTCCAGTAGTTCAGCTCCTCCTTCAGGGCCTCAATCTCCTTCTTCAGGGCTGTGTTCTTTTGCTCCAGGTGCTCGTGTTGCTGGGGTGAAGGGAGCAAAGAAAGAAGGGGTTAGACTAAAATTCAGGCCACCTTGAAGAATGGATCTCTAGGGGGCCAGGTTCAGTAGGGCAAGGGAGTGGAGTCTAATGGGTTAGAGGTGGGGGGTGCTGGGAGTCAGGACTCCTGGGTTCTATTCTCAGTTCTCATTCTTACTACTTAATTATTAGTAAGGTTAAGATTTTGTCACAGTTATTTTTAGTACAAGTCAGGGACAGGTCACAGGCAAGTCAGGGACAGGTCATGGGCAATAAACAAAAATTCACACAAGCCTGTGACCTGTCCCTGACTTGTACTAAAAATAACTGTGATAAAATAGGGCTGATGGGGAGAGGACTGAAGCCCGAGACGGGTGGGGAAGAGAGCCTGACCCCTGCTGCAGAAGAGTGGAGGGGTCCAGCATGCACCGCTGCCGTGGCTTGGAGTGCTGGGGGCCGCCCGTGACAGCTGGGAGCTCCGGGGACCCCCCCCCCCACGGCTGAGAGCTCTGGGACCGGAGCTCTGGGTCCCCATGCCAGCTCAGAGCTCCAGGGCCCCTGCTGGCTGACAGCTCCAGCCCATCCCCTCAGGGCTGAAGTGGAAAATATCACAGAGGTCTCTGAAAATCATGAAATCTGTGACCTCTCTGATGTAATCTTCTCCTTAATGATTAGGAAGATCAGCTCTATTAATTATTTCTAGCCATTTCTGTGCAGAACACCAGTGACCCCTAGTGGTTGATGTGGTGGCAGGCACAGTCACAGAATAGCAAACAGCAACAATGGATACACTGCTGACTCCAAACAGTGGGGCACAGGCTCTGCTGGTGCTTTCACATCAGTGCCCATACAGCAGGACGTGGGTGCTGGGTTAACAGGCTGGTCACTGCCTCTCATGAGCCAAATTCTGCCCCTAGTTATCCCCATATCTGCTTCTATAGGGTCATGCAGAGGGACAGAATTGGGCCCTAAGAATTGTAGATAATCCGTGGCCAATAACATAATCATGCTGGTGCAAGAATAGAGCCCTGATTTCCCCCGCCCTCCACCTGCTATTGGCTTGCTGGATCTAGGACACCTGGCTGAACAGTTCCGATTCTATCCAGCAGGGGACGCTGCTGTGCCTGCACATGCTTCACAGTATGTGCCCGGCAGCTGTGTTAGCATTGCCCTCAGCACTGCCATTCACTTCCCTGGCCTTTAAATCCACAGCCTTCCCCTTGCATGGATGGTGCTTGAGGATTTTTAGGCACCTTGATCACATTGAAGGTGCGGTGTGGGGGTTGAAGAGGGGCCAAAAAGGCACTGGGGTGAAGAAGAATAAGGAAAAATTTCTAGTGCTGTTCTGTACACCAATGGTGCGGCCTCCTCTGGAATACTGGATAGCAGAGGAAGGTGGGCCTAGTGGTCAGAGTCAGTCAGGAGACCCAGGTTCAATTCTCTGCTCTGCCACAGATTTCCTCTATGGCCTTAGGCAAGTCCCTTAGTCTCTATGTGCCTCACTTTCCCCATCTATACAATGAGGGTAATAGCACTGCCCTGCCTCACCAGGGTGTGGAGAATAAAAATGCATTAAGGCCAGTGAGATGCTCAGTGACTAGGGTAATGGGGTGCAGACAGGTACCTGAGCTAGGTTCTGTGTGCACTGCTGGTCACCCCATCTCCAAAAGTGTATTGCAGAATGAGCAGGGGGGGTCAGAGGCCTGAAAACACTCTCTGAAAAGACTGGGAAGGGTTTCAAGAAGACAAAAGAGAGGGGACATGGTCAAAGTCTCTAAAATACTGTCTGGTCTAGAGAAGGGAGATGAGAGCTTATGTTCTCCTTGTCTCGTACCATGAGAACAAGGGGCCGTTCGATGAAATTGAAAGAGGGAAAATTCACAACTAATCAAAGGAGACACTCACTCATACAACATAGCATTAGCCTGTGGAACTCTCTGCCACAGCAAGTCACTGAGGCCAAGAGATTAGCAAGACTCAGAAAAAGGAGTGTGGAGACATATATGAGGAATACAGGAATAGCTGGAGTTAATGTTGGTAAAAATTGTGGAAGGGGTATTAAACTTTGGGCTTCAGCAAAGCTCTGACTAGTAGAGACCAGGATGAGGCCTAATGTGGGGAGCAGAGTAGTGCACATCTGCTTTTATGGGACTCTTACACCTTTCTTTGCTGGGCACTGTCAGAGACAGGCTACTGGGCCAGTCTGCAACATCCTATGTTTCTGCTCTGTGCAAGGTCTCCTGTCTCTCACTGGCTCCCTACCAAAGTCCAGACCACTGAGCGCTTTTGCTATCACTTTCCCTCTGACAGGTCAGCTGGGCATAGCCTTGTGTCCTTGCTAGACACAGCGTCTCCTTAACCAACTGCATGCAAAGGGAATGGTTTGGAAGGCCCCCTCTGTACCTTGCTATGGGGATGTAATAGAGAATGGAGGGCTAGAAATTCTGCAGCTCACAAATGCGATGGAACAGACTAGTGAGAGACAGTGGGAGTCTAATGGGTATGCATGGTCTGGGAGTCAGGACACCTGGGTTCATAGATTTTAAGGCCACAAGGGACCATCATGATCTAGTCTGACCTCCTGCATAGCACAAACCAGAGAAGCTTATTCCTAGCTTGATCCCAGCTCTACCACTGACCTGCTGGGTGAGCCTGGGTAAGTCCCTTCCCCACTTTATGCCTCTTTCCCCTCCCACCTTTGTCTATCTAAACTGTCAGCTCTTCAGGGCAGAGACCGTCTCTCACTGGGTGTCTGTGCAGCACCTGGCACAATGGGGGTTACAGTCTATGGATGCTGCCGTAATACAGATAACGTACGGAATAGGCATACAGTGACGTAAGGACTAACACGCAGGACTGGGAGCCAGGAGTCCTGGATTCTAGCCCCAGCTCTGGGAGAGGAGGGGGAGGGCTCAGAATCATTTCCATGAAATGAGTGACAGTTGAGCCCAGGAGGCATGAGTCCCAGTGTTCCCCCGCCTCTAGCCACTGAAGCGCATTCCCCTCCCAGAGCAGAGAACAGAACCCAGGAGTCCTGACTCCCAGTCTCCTGCTGTGATCATGGGCCTGCACTGACTTCACACAAACGCACTAGACACCACGCCAGCAAACTGAGAGGGGCCCAGGGGCCACACTTAATGTGTGTGGCTATTTTTGGTTCACAAAACCCCAACTTTCTGGTGCTGCAGGAAACCATCTTGCAGAGCCCCAGCTCCTCATCCTGCCTCCCACCCTTGGCTCCAGACAGCCGGGACGGTACCTCACCCCATCATCCCATGCTTGGGTCTTAAAGAGCCGGTGATTGCTCCGGGGCTAGAGAGAGAGATCTTCCTTCCTCCGAGGCTGTGGTTCCAGCATGTCTCACTAAGGGATCCCACCTCAGGGCCTTGCCACTTGTGCTGATGAAGAATCCCTGCTCCCCGGTAGAAGTATAGGTCTTAGGACACATGTAGTTATGCAGTTTTGATCACCTCCACCAGAAGGCAGTGGTCCTCGCACCTATGACCTCCTTGACTCCCACCATCAGTTCTTGTTAAGTTGCTGACGGGGGAGCCTTCCCTTTGTGGGGTCCCACACCAGCGCCCCTATATTTCATCCTGTCTTGTCCCTCTTAGCCCCCCTCCACTGACCTGATGGAGCTCGTCCGCCTTCTCCGTGTGCTTTTGTCGGCTCCTCTGGGCAGCTGCACGATTCTTTTGACGTCTTTTCAGCTTCTTTTCTTCCAAAGAATTCTGGGAGACAAATCAACCAGTGAGGCATGAGATGAGTTGGCTGGGCTTCAGCTGAGGGGGCTCCCCAGCACAGAGGGCACTAGCTGATCCCCAACCCACCCCCTTAGCAGTGAAGCCAAGGGCTGGATGGGCCATTGGGGCTGACCCCCTTCTACCCTCCTAGTAGTGGGGTGAAGTGAAGCCAATCAGCGGGAAGAGCAAGGGGAGAAGGGAGGATGCTTGCCCTGCTGCTACCCACACTGTGCCTGCGCTGGGGCTAGAAACAGAGGGCTTTGCACTCCAGGGTTGTGGGATCCTGTGGGTTAGAACAGGAGACTGTGTCAGGGTTCTATTCTTGGTTCAGGTAGGGGAGGGGAGTAGAGTCTAGTGGTTAGAGCCGGGGAGAGAGATCAGGACTTTTGGGTGTCTCTAATCTTCTCTTTATCATCCCAAGTGAACCCAAGCTAACAATAAAGTACCGGGGTTCTGGGGCAATAGAACACACAGGACTATGGGTGTTGGGCACTGGCTGTTTTGAACCCACACCAGTCATGGCTCAATGGTGAATCTGATCAGGGCTGACCCTGTCCCGCTATGCCTTATGGCAGCCATGGGCACACTTCTTCATGCACACAAGGGGTTTTAGGAGCACAAGCCCAGTGACTGTCTGTGGGTTGGGGCTCCTAGGTGACCTAGGCACAGTGGAGAGTCCCACCCAGGCTGGCAGTCAGTCTCCCAGCAGGTCTCAGAGCCCTGTTGTGATCCCAACTACCTGAGGGGAATCTGGAGTCAATGCTGGGCATGAAAGGATTATTCTAGGGTGACGGACAGCTACAGCTGACCCTCTGCCTGTCTCCCCACATCTTTTACACACACACAATCTGGCACAGACAGTCTTTGTCATATACACAGTCACACAATCTCCCTTTCACACAGGCAGACACACACACACAAACTCTTACACACACACACACATACACAAAATATCTGTCAAATGTTCAGACACACACAATCTCTCTCTGTGACATACAAAAACACCACACTCCTACCCATACAGTTGTCTCTGTCACACAAACACTTTCTTTCACACGCTCTTGCACACATGCACAGCTCTCTCGCTCTCTCTCTCACACACACAGACACACACACACATACACACACACTGTCAAACACACACATACTATTTTCTTTCATGCATACAGGTCTCTGTCTCACACTGTTCTCTCTCTCTCTCTCTCTCACACACACACACACACACACATTGACACACACAATTATCTCACACACTCAAACACACATACAGGTCTCTCTCACACACACACAGTTATTTCTGTCACACACACACACAGATCTGTCTCATACACACACGGTCACACAACACACAGTACTCTATCACACACACTGTCACACATACATGCACATACAGTTCTCTCTGTCACGCACACAAACACAGTTCTTTCTGTCACACACTTTCTCACACATGCTCTTGCACACATGCACAGTTCTCTCTCTCTCTCTCTCTCTCACACACACACACTGTTAAACACACATATTGTCAAGCACAGTTTTCTCTCTCACACACACACACGCACACAGCTCTCTGTCTCACACAGGTATCTCTGTCTCTCACACACACAATTCTCTGTCACTCAAACACATACAGATCTCTGTCACGCACACAGTTCTTTCTGTAAAAAGCAACAGAGGGTCCTGTGGCACCTTTAAGACTAACAGAAGTATTGGGAGCATAAGCTTTCGTGGGTAAGAACCTCACTTTTTCAGATGCAAGTGAGGTTCTTACCCACGAAAGCTTATGCTCCCAATACTTCTGTT